AAAGAATATTTTCAGCCAATTGGAAATTTTTTCTATCCTAGCCCAATAGTTGTTAACCTTTATCATTATTTATTTATTTATTTGGGAAAGCTCGAGAAGGGAAGAGGTATTAAGCATAGCCAGATGCACTACTTTTTGAGCAGAGCTATGTAGAAGTTTTTATCAAATTCAACTAATTTTTAAAAAATTCTCCGCATATGTCCCCGCCCCTCTCGCTATGCGCGAGTTAAAGCGATGTGGACGCACGTCTCCCCGCTTATCACCACCCACATTCATCATGATTTCCTATTTTGTGGGATTTTCTTTTCATTGTTATTTTGTGTTCTCTATCATTGCTATTCTTATTTCTTCTATGTTTTTGCTATGATGCCATATTCATAACTGCAAGAATGCGCAGCACATGGGATAGGCTTCATGCTCACTTGGTATGCTAGGTCGGTAAAGGGCTGATAGCCTTGATGTAAGTGAGGAGGCAAGTTACCCCCTTTACCGTGTTCCACCATCGCGCCACTCTTTCGTCCCTATAAACTCTTAAGATAAATCATGATTTACTGTTTTTACTCATTTAACCTCGTACCTGTGGTGTATTTCCTCATACTGATTGTGTCCAGCTTTTTATTCCAAATAGCGAGGTGAAACCCGCATCCCTCCACCAAAATCGTGGGAAACACCTTCCATGCCCCGATAATCGAGGGTCTTTCAAAATCCAGCACTATGCGTAAACTGTCCAGCGCACCTCTGCAACTCCTTTATCAGCTGCCTGAATATCACTTCATAGGTCTTGACGTGCTTTTCCGTCGTAACGGCGAACAGCAGTGCAACATATAGGGTGTTGTTGAATACGCCGTGAATGGTGTATAGCTGACCGTGTTCGGCGTCCGGCTGCAAGTCAAGCATACCGGCCGCTAATAACGCATAGAGCCCATTCCTCTGCGCCATCTGAAATGAAGAAGTAGCAGTGAGTAAATGTATTATTTCAATTAACTGACCTCGAGGGCATGGAGCAATGCATGTGCAGCCTTGCGGTCTGAAAATGGGGAGATTAAGAGCCGTCGGACAGCTGCGCGTTCCCTTCCAGAACGTGCACATCATGCATTGTGGGTCTTCTACTCCACGGATAACCTTGAACAATTATATATTCGCTTGGTGTATCATATGTAAATGTATACCAGTGTATAAATATACTAAATGTTTGCCTTGTTACCGTGCAGCCGATCCTTTCAACTTGATCTTGGGAAGTTTTGGCAGGACGGCAATTTTGGAGCATACATAGGTCTCTAACAAACTCGTTATCAGTCACCTACAGAATATAAAGAATATAATAAAGTTTGTTACTCACTACAATCATAGCGTTTAACTTTTCAGCTCTATAACCTGTGCACCGATAGACCTTGTATGGTGTTTGATCGTAGATGCTCAAAGATGTAACAGATGGGGCTACCTCAATCAAATTTGTTCAGTATCATCCACATCTTGGTACTTTACAAACCATGAGTCGAAAAACGCAGCATCGCATGTTTTCTCTTTCTTACTCCGTTCCAATCTAGCTGGAAATCTCTAAGTGGTAAGATCATAACTGCATCTTTGTCATCAAACGCAAGGCTGCTGTGATGATGTTGAGGCTGATGGCGTTTGTGGTTCTCTGGTTTGTATTCCTAGATTTGAATGTAATTTATGAAAACATCACACACACCGATTTCATCACTTCGTAATACGCCAATTTGCATAAGGTAGACACTTAGAGTAGAAGTAATTCAGAGAATAGACAAAGAAGAGAAAGAATGTGGAGAGGACCATGGAGAATGTCTTCATGCAACTTCCGTGGACCGCTGTACACATTTCAAGGACCAGTGTCAACGTGGTGGTTACTGTATCGTAGTGAAACTCGGCCGTCTAGCTGAGGGCGTGGCTAACAGCGCATGCGCTAATAACACTTGCTTGCCCCGACGCATGCTATCGTTCATAAAGTCGTACAACCACTCTTAGGTACCCGCTTGTGCAGCCGGAGAAGTGCCTTCATGGCTCATTCCTATGTTGCGCTTTTTATCGCGCGTTATCCTACGGACACATCGCTACAAGTAGTTATGCCATCAAAGGTACTAAAAATTGTCCCAGCTTATATTAGTGCCAAGTATAGGAGAATTCTGCAAAATGACTAAAGCACTAAAAAAGGTTCTAACATGAAATTTTTAAACTTAAACTAGTCTAAAAGCAAAGTCACTAAAGATTATAAGTTTCAAAGATGTTATATTTAGAATCAGATATTACTGATGATATAGAATGGAGAATTAATAACAGTAGCAAAGGGAAAGTCATAATAAGAAGTTTCTCTTGCAGTATATAAATTTACCCACAAAACAATGCATTCAATCTTTTTTTTCATCCATTCTCCAAAAGTGTGAGTAATCGTATGACAGAAATCTTCTCACAGGTTTCTTAGAAGTCAATAAGAAATCGAATCCTTAGCAATCCTCCCAAGCTAAAAAGAAACGCTTGGTGAAGTTTGATAGGTCTGCTGGTCTCAAATATGGCAGCTGTCAACAAAACAACAAGTAAGATCTTTGCATAGGGAGAAAACTTAGGTTTCGTATAATGGTTGCTATATTCGAAATCAGCAACTCAAGAACCTCCAACAGTTTTCATTTTGATTCTATAAGATTTGCACTAAACTTACTTTTTGAAATAGTTTCATAAACATGTTTCATTCTTGGCGTGCGCATTCCCGCAACTTGGCCCTCAAGAGGAAGCGCATCTTGCTGGAGCAAGGGCACAGCTTCGATATTCCAAGCGCAACCCCCACTTACACTACTTTATTGCGCAGTGAAACTCCTAACAGCTTATCCTTGGATACACAAGGGTATACCTAATGGTGTATAAGTACCCTTGCCTCTCATTTGTACATGCGGAAGCGTAGCTAGACCTGGCCTAGCTGCGTGCATCTACACGCCGTTAAAGTGCATTGAAGCTCACCTCAAAAAAGCGGTTAGTGCTAATAGAAGAAGTGCCACAAATCAGCGACACTTCAATAACGAAAGTCGAAGTTCAGCAACCACTGAAAGAAGCACCTCCTTTAATACACCAGCTAAAAACGGCCGCTGTACACGAGGGAAAGGCGCATGGGATTATGGAGACCCGAATAGTGGTTTACAAATTAATACGCTTATGCTGTATAAACTTAGAGCTAGGCGATTATTGACGAAGAAACAGCTTGCTAAAGAGACTCAGATGAAACAATCAAGAAGATAGCAAGTTTATTTAATTAGAAGAATCAGGGCATAGAAAAGTTCACCGTATCTGATGATGTTACATATTGGCACCAAATCCGAAGGTAGGCTTGGCGCTAAGCCTTAGTTTAGGAACATTCGCTGGAAACAGTAGGTTCACTGCTGGGAATCTGGTATTTCCAATAGTGATTTGATTCACCGCGGAGAATAGTAAAAGAGAAGAGCTTTAGAAGGCAAAAAGGTAGTAGACAATATCGCTGCTCCAGTGTCCTCAACAACCGTGGGATCTTCTAATGAAAGCCCAGAACTATCGAAGGATAATCCGGAGGATTACGAAGCCCAATATTCGAACTAGCTTAGATGCAACAATGAAGCTCGTGGCATTTGAGTGCATTTTACAATTACACCATGCGGCCTTATAATTCCGAACAAGACTTGTGCATTATGTGAAATAGATGTTATTCTCACAGTGAAAATAAATAATAATCATCTATATGGTAGAATATTATTAAGCTTTTCCTCTAAGAAAATTTCGCTGATAAGAAGCAAACGTGTACATGCTGTCTTATTTCTCAACCAACAGGGTCAAATGTTCAAAAATCTTCAGAGTCTCTGAAGCAAAAAGCGTTTACGTCAAAAATTAACAAATGTTTAATATGCAAAATAACTTCCTAAGTTATTAAGTTGCATGGTGGTAAAGGGCGAATGCGCTTCACACCGCATGAAAGAACATGTCCTTCAGGATCAGCAGTCTAAAATTCTTAATGCTGGCAGAAAGATAAATTAAGTCAGTACATAAATAAGGCTTGCCAGCAGACAAAAGATTCCAGAAGACAAAATATGAAAACCGATAACATAAATTTACTGTTCCCAATTATCA